TTTACCATAGTTTATACAAATATATTCTATGGATTCCAGCTTTAATAACAAACCCAAAACAAAGAACCCAAAATTCTTTCCTTAATCTTACATCTGCCTCAAGCTGACCCACCTTTGGGCTTCTGACAAAACATTACAAGATTGATCTGTTTACACTTGCAGTGATAACCTTTTCCTACCTTTATGTTCACTTTTAAACTCAGTAAAATACTGAACATTTACTATGTGTTGAGCACTACTCTGAAATTTAAAAACTGTGAGTTCAGTCCAACTCTATAAGCTGGTGATAAGGCAACTGTGGCAAATGTTACAAAACTTGCACAAAGGCTTAGAAACAGTGGTAAATAGGACCAATTTCAAAACCAGGCAGGATGATAGCAGAGCTATCAATTTAACCTATGCTACTCCAATCTGGTTTAATATAGGGAACCGATCTGCATGGCAATAACAAATGTAGCCCAGCCCAACTCAGAAAACCAGTGGGAGCGAGTCTGCACACAGGAACTGGGCCCACAGATTGGTTTTCCAGTGGGACACCACACCTGCACTGTACCTAGGCTGCTTTGAGGTTTGCTTTTGCTAAAACTCCCTCACTCTGAATTGAGGCAGAAAATGTTTACTGCATATCTTTAAAGTAACTTCCTAGTCTGTGCTAAACCTCCCAAGGATGGAGTGTAAGTGATGCAGATACTGGCCCACAGTGTCCGCGTCACTATGGATGAAATGATACATTCACATGGACTACCGAGTCCAGCGGAGGAAAAGGGACAGCATGGCTTTTCTCTCAAGGGGAGCATAAGCCCAGGCCCTTGCCGTGACCAGCCTTTATTGGGTTTCTCGGCACATTACATTATCATCCTCATTTACTTTGCACAGGTTCGCTTTAGGTGGTTATCTTTTACAGACAACAAAGGAGCCAATGCTGCTAATTGCATCACAGAAGAGGGATATTTGCAAATGAAAAGGGAAAAGTGGTTGAACCAGTTACATTCCTCCTTGTAAAGTTTAGCGTGGATTTCAGGAAGTTACTTTGCAATGTTTGCCACTAGGGACTGGGCCCATGCCAAGCAAAATGATCTCCGACAGTAAGCAGTTCAACCACTTTTCCCCTTGCATTTGCAACATACTTTCCTTTGTTATCTCTAAAAGGTAATCACCTAAAATGCAAATCACCTTATCATGCAAACCTGTGCATGATAAATGAGGACCATCCTCGATATAATGTGCCCAGAAAAGCAATAAAAGCTAGTCCAGGCAGGAGTCAGCACTCTTGTCACTCAGAGAGTGGCCATGCCATGCCTTTTTCTCCACAGGACTTCTGCAGTCTGTGAGAATTTGTTTGTTGCATCCACAACACACGCAGCTCTCTGGCCAGAGTCCACATCAGTTTATGACACCAACACAGCACCAAAAAGGTTTTTTGTTTACAATGGCCTACACAGTGCCAAATCTAAAGGACACTGGGTTCATTTTATAGTATTTTGTAGTAGCAATCAACAGAATGACTGTATCTTCATACACTTTGCTGTCTTGGCTACTAAGGCATCACACCTGCCCTGTTAGGAGACTGGCAGCATTTTTCTACATGACTTATGCTGGAGTGCCATGGCTCAAACCTAGGCTTTCTTATCCTCTATATCCTTTCCCTAAATGATCATATCCTATTGCCTGTCTTTAACGCTTAAAGGCTTGATTCCAAAGTTACCAAGTTGTCCCCTCTAATTTCCACAAAGTGTCAAAAATAAGCTTTTCAAATATAAAACACCGCAAACTAAATTCTATTTGCTTCTAAAGTGCTTCTCCATATCCCAGAACATCATAGCCAGTTGTCAAGGTTCCAAAAGTTGGTACAGTACTTAATGCCTTCCTTTATCATACACGCCACATAAATCTCAGGACTACTCACCTCTATCTCTCTCCAATGTACCATCTCTGTTCCCAACCTTTACCACCTTGCTTCAGTGATTATTTGGCCTCTAAAATGGTCGCCCTGCTTCTACTCTTGCTGCTATTTCAATCCACTCTACACAAAGCCTCACTGTTCTAATCAAAATGTTTGTCACATCACTGCCATTCTTAAAACCCACTGCACTTATAAAATCCAAGACTGTGACCAAAACATGTGCTCCATGCCAGTATCAACCACATCCCACACTTTGCCCTTTCCTACTAATGTATTATACAAGGTCTGTCCAGAAAAAGTCCAGCCATTGTTAATATAATGAGAATGGTTCACAAAATATGACATTACCCAATAGCCAAGGAAAGTCAACTGGAATGTACATGTGTGAACAGTGACAACTTCACTGCTGTAGTCAGTGGGGACAGTAGACACTATTGAATGAGCATGTGTACTGTGTGGCTGTAGCATTCAAAATGACTGAGCGAGCAGAGCAATGCATCTACATCAAATATTGCATGAAACTTGAACATTCCTCTACAGAAGATATTCAGATTTAGAATGCCACACTTACTGGCAACTTGTCATTGGAAGCTTCATCAGGACCACATGCCTCTTCATACATCACATCTCATGCAGTTTTTTGGCAAAACATCAAATCATCCAGGTGACTCAGCCTCCCTACAACCCAGATTTGGATGCCTGCAACTTATGTTTTTCCACAAAATTAAAATCACCTTTGAAAGGGCAGTCAATGAGATTCAGGAAAATATGACAGGGCAGCTGATGGTGATTGGGAGAGCTGTGTGAGTTCCCCAAGTGCCTACTTTACAGGGGACTGAGGCATCATTGTCCTATGCACGTTTGTCTCTTCAATAAATGCCACTATTTTCCTAATACATGGCTGGATACTTCCTGGGCAGGCCTGTATTTTTTGACATTTTTGAGTGATTTTTAAAAATTTAATCTTTATTATGTTTTCATTTCTATTTAGCCCCCTTAAACCTTCCTGCCCCCAGTAATCACCATTGTTGTCCATGTTCATACATCCTTTTTCCTCAATCTCTGCACCCCCTAATTTGGCCCCCTCCACACTAGCTGTCATGCCAGGTTATCATTGTATGACCAAAAAAAAAAAAAAAACCCAATCACACTTGTTATTCAACAGTAATTAGTAAAATTACAAAGCCATGTTTTTTTTTAAAATATTTGTTAGTTCATAGTATTTTAAACACGAAACACCTTAAATGTGAAATATATATGCAGCCATGCAAGGAAAGTAATGATAGTAGTTTACATAACCCACAACTATCAAGATTATGCCTTGCATTAGTATATGAGTAATAAACGAGGCTATTTCTAGGTCTCTCACATGGACTGGGTACTATACAAGGTAGCTAGTACTATACATCCAATGCGGAATTAACTGATTTGACAATTTAGGTGTCTAACATTCAAGTCACTTATACCTACATTCTGTCAATTGGGATGGAGTAAGATAAATGTGCTGAGGTCTGCCTCCTAACTCGAGTGAAATGATTCTGAATTGTTTAAGGGTTTTTTTTTAAAGAGGAAGGGAGATAAACAGTAACATGTGGTTGACTCTCACATGCCCCTTACTGGGTACCTGGTCCACAATGCAGGCATGTGCACTGACTGGGAATTGAACCAGCGACCCTTTCACAGGCCAGCACTCAACCACTGAGCCACACCAGCCAGGGGAGCTCTAAGCAATGGCCTATACATATTTAAAATATTCCCTGGTTTTGTCATCAGTCACACATCATTTCATTCTGTTGAGTCTGAAGTTGCAAAAACAAAAGCAGAGTTCAGAGTTAAGTGTTAAATAAAAGAGATTAAGAAGTGGTAGTTTAGGAAAACATCTTTTGACTAAAATCTTATTTTACCTACTGTGGGTGATAAATGCAGACAATTTTTAAATGTTGTACACATATCTGACATAACTTCTTAGTAGATTTAGTATATACATCCTTTTAAAGATGTCCTGGAGGTTCCTAAGACTCTCCTCATTTCTTTGAATTCTTGCTTCTTGACTCTTTCCTGTTTGGCCATTATTCGCTTTCTTCTGGTCCACTCCATTGATTTGAGTCCCAGTTTCCTTTTCATTGCTATTGGTGCCCTGTGCAATTCCATTCATTTCAATTAGTTTTGCCTTCATATATTTGTCTAATTTGTGGGTATAATCAACCAGTTCTGTGAGGATCCTGATCAGCAGTGTTTTAAACTGTGCGTCTGAGAGTTTTGCTATTTCTTCATTGCTTAGATTTATAGGCTCTGGGGCTTTGAGATCTTCTTGAGCCATTTGGGTCTGTTCGTGCCCTTTAAGTATGAGGAGCAGAGCCTTGGACTCCCAGGTCACTGGGTTGTGACTCTGTATGTGGGGGCGTGGTCAGAGCGGGGAAATGGCGGCCCCCTCTGCTGTTTCTCACAGCTGGGTGCGGAGCAGAGCCTTAGGTGGTTCACCTGGGCAGGGCCACTCAGAGTTGCTACATTATGACACGAGGTGGGGTCAGAGCAGGCAAATGGCGGCGCCCTCCCTGCCGTGGGGACCTGCTGGGTTCCGGTCCAATCGCCCACTCCCTCGCTTGTCTATCCACGCACCAATACGCGACCAGTCAACCCACAGCCCTGCTCCCTTGCTGTTTCCCCACGGTTGCTCGCTTGGTCGGTAGCTCACTAGGTCCAACCCTGCGCCTGGATTCCGCGCGCCTGAGTCCATCTGACCGAGTTTTCCTGTGCAACCCCGCCCCACCAACTGCTGGTTTCGCCCCTTACCGGTCAGGCTAAATAATTTGTTAACAGACTTCCGAAAAGTTCAATTTCCTGTGTTCTGGCTGTGTTTTCTATTGCTAATATTTAGTTGTCTCTAAACTTGGTTGTGTGAGAAGGCACAGCTTATCCACCTATGCCTCCATCTTGGCGGAAGTCCTCTATACATCCTTTTAAAAAAGGGGGTGAGGGACTCCCTATTAAAAAGGACTATTTCCTTTAGATAACTACGTATATAATTCATTCCTCAAAAAACACTAATAAAACACAGTAATGCTGTGGCAATTAACAAGTTTAAAACCTTTTGACATTTAAAAAATTTATTTATAGAAAGTGGGGCAGGGAAAGAAACAGAGAGGGAGAGAAAACATCAATGTGCAAGAGAAACATCAACTTGGTTGCCTTTTGTACACACCTTGACCAGGAACCAAGCCCGCAGCCCAGGCATATACTGTGACTGGGAATCCAACCCGTTACCTCTTGCTTCAGGGAACAAGGCCCAACAAATGGGCCAAACGAGTCATGGCTTAAAAGCTCTTTAAAAGCAGATTTGAAGTCAATCTCAAATGTTGTATTGCTGATGTTCACTACTATTCAAGAAAATCTTCAATGACATATCAATTTACACTGCAAACATGGGCAAAGAAAAAACAACTTTAGGAAGGATTGGTTTACACATAATTCTTCTTAGGATCTGTACCACTTTTCTCATACTGTCCCAACCTCTACACTTCTGTAAAAGAAACAACTTGATTGGGGGGTGTATTCCCTTCACAATGTATCTGTATATCAAGTCACCACATTATACACTTTCATTATCTTACAATTTTATTTGTCAACTACACCTCAATAAAGCGGGGAAAAAACTCAAGAGGGTTTCGAACCACTGGGAGGGATAAGAGTCTGTAGCTTGTAAATAAGATCCAGGTGTTAGCATTTAACTCATATTGTGGACGTTGTAGGAAGCTTTTTTTAAAAATAAAACTACCATTTATTAATGCATATCTGTTCCCATGGAAATTTACAGACAGGAAATTTGACATTCCAGAAGGTTTATCTAAAACGGCAAGTTATATGAAGTCTGTGTATCCTTAATTTAACTAAAAGCTCTAAAAGTTTTCTAAGCTTAAATGTTGCAAAATGTTACAAATGTATAGACCAACCATATAGTGTGTTCCATAACATGATAAAAAAAAGACTTGAATTATGCTATAATTTGTGATTTTAATAAAATAGATAATTTCATACTACATAGAGAACAGGTCCACCCACTCATCATTGATAAAATTTTACAATTATTTTCTATAAAAAGTTTAGTATTTGGGAATAAATCCATTCAAACATGATTTCTATAGGTTATGTTCCCATCCTCACCCCATTCTTATTAATTCTGAGAAAATTTAAAAATACAGAAAAGTACAAAAAATAAGACAAGATAGCCATATACCACAATCCAGAATTACCCAGTATTTTGATATATATATTTACTTGCAGTCTCTTGTTTTTAACAGAAATGGATGTTTACATATGAAAAGCAAGTCCCCTTTAACCAATCCCCAATCCACCCCCCCCCCAACACTTATCCCCTTCTCTTTTCAACTCTTCACAGGAAACTACTATCAAGAGTTTGGTCTGTATCTTTCCAATTCATTTCAAAAACATACATACATACATACATACACACACATATGTGTCTGTTACTAATATATAGTATTGAACTTTGTGAGGCAAATTTTAATTCAAATATACAAAAATGTCATGGTATTAAGATGTGTCATTCTGCAACGTCATTTCCCCCCAATATTTTTGATATCTTTCTCTGTAATACATGTAGGTAGATCTCATTTGTTACATTTTACAGACATGTATCCCATCATTCAGTACTTTGCACTTTACTCCTCATGGGCATTTAAGTTGTTTCCAATTTATGGCTACTACAAATCAAGCCACAGTAAATAGCCCGGTACATATTTCCTGAGCATACAAACTCAAGAGTAAAAATGTTATGTATTCTTCAATTCATTATAAGGAAAGTTTCCCTACTCCCAAGGTCATAATCATTTTAGTATATAGCTTTTCCATATTCCTGTTTTTAATCCCCATGGATTTTACCTTTGTGCATAGTTCATGGTCACTTTTTTCCTCAGAGAATTATCTCCAAATCATTTTTTAAAGTATCATTATCTTCTCACCTCCTGATGCCATTTCTCTCCTATTCTAAATTCTAATATATGCATAGGTATTTCCAGAATCTCTTCTGTGTGGCTAAAGCAATATCATAAAAGTAATTTCCTTTCCAATGCTTACAACTTAATATTCTTACAACACTGGTGAAGATCTCCAGATCTATCTATGCAGACAGTAACAACAAGAAGCATATTTTGACTTAGTGAAAATCCATTTAAAGTTTCAGCATTACCTTTGCTGTAGATTATTTTGCAGGGCACAGGATTTTTATAATACAAATGTCTTTCTCTTCAGTACAAATTCTCTGGTGTCCCTTAAGTTTTTAGTTTTTGTTTCCCTCATTTGTGATGTTTTCCTTCAGAATGATAATTACTGATGTGCTATGAGATATAAATTCCTGATGAATGCTTTCCAATTATCAAAATATTCATAGGGTTTTCTTAATGAGCATGAATTTTCTGATGTCTAATGTGATGTGACTTCTGGCTAAAAGCTTTCCCACATTCACTACATTGGTAAGGCTTCTTACCTGTGTGAATTCTCAAATGCAGAGCAAGAGTTGAAAATTGAGAGAAGGCTTTGCCACATTCATTACATCCATAGGGCTTCTCACCTGTATGGCTTCTTGCATGCACAGTGAGAGATGAGCTTTGGGAGAAGGCTTTCCCACATACATTGCATTCATAAGGCTTATCACCGGAATGAATTCTCACATGGACAATAAGTGATGTTCGTTGAGAGAAGGCTTTTCCACATTCATTACATTCATAGGGTTTCTCTCCAGTGTGAATGTTTTGATGTTTTATGAGGTACTTCTTCTGGCCAAAAGCTGTTCCACATTCACTGCATTTAAAGGGTTTCTCTCCAATATGAATTTTCTCATGCTCAGTAAGGTTTGATTTGCCACTGAAAGTTTTCCCACACTCCTTACATACAAAGGGTTTCTCTCCTGTGTGAGTTCTCTGGTGTCTAATGAGGTTTGACTTCTGAATGAAAGCTTTCCCACAATCTTTACACTCAAAAGGCTTCTCTCCAGTGTGAATTTTCTGATGGGTAAGAAGGTTTTCCTTCTGGCTGAAGGATTTTCCACATTCATTACATTCAAAAAGCTTTTCTCCAGTATGAGTGTTCTGATGTTTAATGACATACTGCTTTTGGCTGAAGGCTTTTCCACATTCATTACATTCAAAAGGTTTCTCTCTATTATGAAAATGCTCATGCTCAGTGAGATTTGATTTGTGGCTGAAGACTTTCCCACATACCTTACAGACAAAGGGGTTTTCCCCACTACAAATTCTCTGCTGACTGAGGCGTGACATCTGAATGGAAGCTTTCCCGCATTCACAAGGTTTCTCTCCAGTATGAATTTTTTGGTGAATGAGGCTTTACTTGTCGCTGAAGGTATTTCCACATTTCCTACATTTGTAGAGACTATCTGTTTATGACCTTTCAAATGTAAAGAAAGAGACCAGTTTGAGATAAAACTTTATCATACCAGGTTCAAAACTTTTTCATCAAATATAAATTTTCTTCTGCTCAATGAGGTATGTCATGTAGCTAGAGGCTTTTTAATATTCCTTAGAAGCAAAGGGTTTCTCTCCAGCCTGATTTCTACATTTCATAAGGTGTGACACATGAGTAAGTTTTCCCACATTCAGTAACTTCAGAGGGTATGAATATTCTGGTATCAGATGGAGTACAAACTTTTTAAACTGAAGGCATTTCCACACTGATTTATACTTATTACAGTAAGGAATAACCTGCGTCAGAATTTACAAATTAATACAACCGATGATTTGTTCCTATACAACATCCCTCAAGATCAAGTCTAAATTATGTTTCAAACTCTTCCGAGGTAAGTTGAAAAAGGTGTTGCTTTAAAAGATGTATAGTCTGAGATCAGAGGAATTATTTTTCCAATTTTTTATATTCACTGCTTTTCTCCTTCAGTCTGTACCTCACTGAAGACAGATGTAACTTGCCTCCCAAGTCTTGTTGCCTCTCTATCTGCTCATCATCTCAGGGGTCTTCTAAAATGGAGGACAAAAAAAATCATAATTTAAAGGAGTTAATGTATGAAGTGCTGAGAACTGTGACTGGCACATGATAAGTACTCAATAAATGTTAGCTTTATATTATCATCATTATTTATGAATTTCCCATACTAGTGATAAAATTTGTTTGTGCTTTTGGAGATCAACTCTGCTAGTTGATTTCACAATATGAATGGAGGTTCATAACCAACGTTTCCAACTAAATTCTGGTAAGACAACCCTTGTCGAAAATTAACATTCATTGGTACACAAGGTTTAGATTACTTTTTAAAAATAACCTTTCTCATTTCATAATTAAGCAATGAATGTAACAAACAATGAGTAATTAATAAATAAGATAAAAAGATGACCACATAAAAGTGAGAAAATCTACCTGTTTTGCCTAAGGGAAAGGAATAAACCAACATTTGCTTCCTCCCTAAACTCCATTACATGACAAAAGGGTAAATGGCCCAAACTCACATGAAAAAAGTATAACAGTATGATAGAAGACATCATTATACAGATATTAACAACCTTTTTGATAACATAAAGCAAATGGAAGATTTTCAACACAGAAGAACTTAGGAAGTTCAACTAACGTAAAGGTACTGAGACAGAGGATGCCAAGATCAAGCAAGCTAATTTGTGCTGTAAATTATTAAAAAGACTCAAAATGGAGGGAAATTAAATACCTCAAAACAAAGAATAAAGGATGGTGGGCCCTGGCTGGTGTAGCTCAGTGGATTGAGCACAGGCCTGTGAACCAAAGGATCGAGGTTCAATTCCCAGTCAGGGCACATGCCTGGGTTGCAGCCATTTCCCAGTAGGGGACACACAAGAGGCAACTATACATTGATAGTTCTCTCTCTCTCCTTCCCTTCCCCTCTAAAGATAAATTTAAAAATCTCAAAAAAAAAAAGTATATGCACACACACATAAATAACTGTATACAGATATACTTTTGTTGTACACCAAAGAATGATAGTTGTTTCACCTCTGTAAATAATCTAACTTGTAAGCTAAGCCAGTCTTTTTTTTTCCATAGGCACCATTAACTTGCTTTAAGTAAATTAATAAATGACTGCCTTAAAACCTATGATTATTGACACTTGGATATGGTTTGGCAGGTACTTTCTCCAGACAGAACAAAGACAATCCTTCCTTCAAAGGGAGAAACTGACAGTACACATGGCCAAATTTGAGTTTTAAAAAAATTAGAAGTTTTGTAAATTGGTATCCTCCACAAGATTGGTAGCTTCCAAATTCTTGAAAGACTTTTATGAGACTAGTGGTGATGTTAACAAAACATGTCTGATGTTATATGATGGGATACGTGAACATTTGAAAGATCTGCATAACTTAATTGACCAATGCATAATGTTAAGAAGCCCATTAGAAGTTTAAGACACATCAAAGGTTTAAGACATGGATTTCACTATAAAATTTTTGATATACCTTCAAATTCCACATTGAGGCTAATCTTGAAAAAATTACCACTTGTCCAGTGTTAGTGGTGTACCAAAAAATATCCGTAATTTTCTGAAGACTATTTTAACTATACCTGTATGAAGTCTCAATTTTAAAAAATACTTCAAAAGGTTATAAAAGCAGAAATGAGATCCCAGCTGTATTTTATTTAGCCAGACAGTGAAGATATTTACAAATATGCAAATATATAATATCACTTTCCTCACCACTATTTTTTTTTTTGAAAAATTATTACCTTTATAAGACATGTAATATAAGTTGGGAACTTCCAGCAAAGATGGAGGCGTGGGTAGACACACTGTACCTCCTCGCACAACCAAGGACAACACAAATTTAAAAACAAAACACAACTACAAGTGACAGAAAATCAAACTATATGTAAGTCTGACAACCAAGGAGTTAAAGAAGAAACATTCTTCCAGACTGGTAGGAGGGATAGTAATGGGCAGCTGGGTAAAGACTACTCACAGCAACGCAGTGGCTGGAGGACTGGGTGGTCCCACATTTGCCTGCAGATAAAACTGTGGACCAAGACAGATCACACAACCCAGAGTTCCAACACTGGGAAATAAAGCTTCAAACCTCTGACTGAGAACACCTGTGGGGGTTGAGACAGCAGCTGGAGAAAACTCCCAACTTCACAAGAGAGTTCAATGGAGACACCAACAGGGTCCTAGAATATACACAAACCCACACACCTGGGAATCAGCACCAGAAGGGCCCGATTTGATTGCAGGTAGCAGGGGAAGTGACTAAAAACCAGCAGAGAGAGGAGCAAGCAGCACTGTTCCCTCTCCGATCCCTCTCCCACATATGGAATCACAATGCAGTGAGGTGAGTTGCCCCGCCATGGTGAACATCTAAGGCTCCCCCATTACTACATTACAGGTGCACCAAGAGGGGGGAAAATAGCCAAAATGAAAGAACAGGTCAAAACGCCAAAAAAAATACAACTAAGAAACAAAGAGAGAGCCAACCTATCAGATGCACAGTTCAAAACACTGGTTATCAGGATGCCCACAGAATTGGTTGAATATGGTTGCAAATGAGATGGAAAATGAAGGCTACGCTTCATTTTTGTGAAATAAAAGAAAATGTACAGGGAACCAGTAGTGATAAGAAGGAAACCAGGACTCAACAATCTAGAGCAGAAGTTAAGAATAAATATCCAACCAGAACAGAATGAAGAAACAAGAACTCAAAAAAAAAAAGAGGAGAGGCTTGGGAACCTCCAGGACATCTTTAAATCTTCCAACATCCGAATTATAGGGGTACCAGAAGGGGAAGAAGAAGAGAAACAAGTGGAAAACTTATTTGAACAGACAAGAAAGGAGAACTTCCTCAATCTAGCAAAGGAAATAAGACTTCCAGGAAGTCCGGGAAGCTCAGAGAATCCCAAAGAAGTTGGACCCAAGAAGGAACACACCAAGGCACATCACAATCACATTACCCCAGATTAAAATGAAGGAGAAAATTCTAGAAGCAGCAAGAGATAAGGAGAGTTACCTACAAAGGAGTTCACATCAGACTGTCAGGTGATTTCTCAAAAGAGACCTTACAGGCAAGAAGGGTCTGGAAACCAGTATTCCAATTCACGAAAGGCAAGTACCTACATTCAAAATTGCTCTATCCAGCAAAGCTTTCATTTAGAATGGAATGGCAGATACAGTGCTTCTCAGATAAGGTCAAGTTCAAGGAGTTCATCACCAAGCCCTTATTATATGAAATGTTAAAGGGACTTACCTAAGAAAAAGAAGATAAAAAAGATGAACAGTAAAATAACAGTAAGCTCACAATCATTAACAACCACACCTTAAAAAAAAAAACACACTATACACACACAACTGAACCTAAAACAAAGAAAACAGAAAAACTAGTTGTTTGCTTAGACGGCAAACAACTAGACAGGAATAGAATCACAGAAATGGAGATCACATGGAGGGTTATTAGTGAGGGAGTTGGTGGGGAAAAGAGGGGGAAAAGGTACAGAGAATAAGTAGTATAAATGGTATATAGAAAATAGACAGGGAGAGGTTAAGAATAGTATAGGAAATGTAGAAACCAAAGAACTTATATGTATGACTCATGGACATGAACCAAAGGGGAATGGCAGGTGGGAAAGGGTGTACAGGGCAGAGGGGAATAAAGGGTGGAAAATGGGACAACTATAATAGCATAACAATAAAATATATTTATATAAGAAAAGAAATATAAGTTTATATGTAATGGGCTATTATTTGCGGTATTTTTATTTTTTACTACTATTATTTTTTAAGATTTTATTTATTTATCTTTATAGGATAAGGGAAGGAGAGAGGGAGAGAAATGTCAATGTATGCTTGCCTCTCATGCATTCCCTGCTGGGAACTGGCGTGCAAGCCAGGCATGTTCCCTGACTGGGAATCAAACCGTGATCCTTTGGTTTGCAGGCCCGTGCTCAATCCACTGAGCTACACCAGCCGGGGCTTATTTGTGGTATTTTTAAATAAATCAATGTTTTTAAATTTTTCTCAATTTTACTTTTAAATAAGGGGAATTATCACTAATTCCATATAAACCAAAGTTCTTTGGGGTGGGGGTCTTCAAATTTTAAGAATGTAAAGATTACCGCTAATAGTTATTGGGTTTCCTTTAGTGGTAATAAAAGTCTTCTAAAATTAAAAAAACTTCTAAAATTTGATAATGGCTATGGCTACAGAACTCTGAATTGAACATACTAAAAACAACTTAATAGTATACTCTAAAAACTAGATTTTATGTTATATGAATTAATAAAACTGTTATTTAAAAAAAGTTAAGAATGTAAAGAGGCCAAAAAGTATGAGAACTATTGCTCCAAATTATTTCTCATTATTCATCCAACAAATACCTTTTTCTCTCCTTAATATGTGCCTGGCACAGTTCTAAGCTCTAGGAATACAGTATTGAACAAAAGTGACAAAATTCTCTGCCCTCATTAAGTTTACACTCTATTTTGACCCAATTATTTCACCGCTGGTATTATATCCTAATAATTCTAAAACACCAATTCAAAAGAACCCATGTATGCCAATATTCATAGCAGCTTTATTTACAATAGCCTAAGTGCCCATCAGTAAATGAGTGGATCAAAAAAACTGGTGTGTTTATACAATGGAATACTATGCAGCAAAAAGAAACTCCCACCTTTCATGACAGTATGGATGGAACTGTAGAGTATTAATGCTAAGTGAAATAATCCAGGCAATGAAAGACAAATACCATATGATCTCACCTATAGGTGGAACCTAGTGAACAAAATAAACAAATGAGCAAAATAGAATCTGAGTCATAGAAACAAGGAACAGACTGACAATGACCAAAGTGATGGGAGAGGATAATGAGGAAAAAAGGGTCTAGTCAAGCAACATGAATAGAGCACCCATGGACATGGACAATGGGGTGGGGATTTACTATGGAAGTGGAGGTGGGAGGGGCAGTGGAGAGCAAAAGGGAAAAATTGGGACAAATGTAACAGAACAATCACAGAAAAAAAATTGAGTAGAAGTTTACAGTGCATACAAAAGTAGTTCACAAACTGAGAGCTTTAAAATGTAAAAGACTGATGAAGCTCTCTACCATGACATTTCGGGATGGCAAATAAAGATGAGTATGTTGTTTCACCAAAATAGTTTACAAAATGTGAAAAAATTTCAAGGAGATAGTGTGTTAAGAAATTGTAACTGCTATAAAAACATTTTCAGAAGGGATAGAGTTTTAATTTTAGATACAGCAGCCTCTCAGAAGGCAAGGTTCAAGATATGAAGGAAGAGAAGGATCCTTACAAATAAGCAGAAATGCATTTCTGCATTCTAAGCAGAAACTAAACAAACTCACAGGACCTGAGAAAGAGCCCACCAAGCATATTAAATATGTAATAAATGAGTCAGTCACATTTATGGCCGTCGTGCTCATGTACTTCTACCTCCTATTCCTTTTTTGAATCTATAAAACCTCCTGGAAGTATCTTTCCCTAAACTTTAAATCACAGTCAGATTCACTTTTTCTAAAATAAGTGTTTCATATGAAATATTTAAAAACCCAAATTTCTATGTAGTTATTTAACTTAATATCTTAACTATATAGCCTGAGATGCCAGATTGCATTAATGGTTCTACTCTATTCTTTGAATGGCTGACAGTAAATATTTGTTAAATACTGGGAGCAGTATTAAGGGGGAATGGAGAAAAGGAGAGAACGGTTTATATTTTAAAAACAAAAAAGGCAGCCCGGGATGGTGTGGCTCAGTAGCTTGAGCACAGGCCTATAAAGCAAAAGGTCACTGGTTTGATTCCCAATCAGGGCACATGCCTGAGTGGCAGGCCAGGTCCCTAGTAGGGGGAACGTTAGAGGCAACCACACATTAATGTTTCTCTTCCTCTCTCTCTAAAAATAAATAAGCAAATAAAATATTTAAAATAAAATGACAACCAAATTCAAAGTTTAAACCTTGACTGGATTCTGGTACTTAAAAAAAATGCTATATGAGGTATTTGGGAAATTAAAGAAATGCAGACCTCTTTAATACACGGTAACTCATTCTCTTTTGGTTAAAATTTCAGAGTCATCAGTTTATCAGCCAACCCTGTCAGCTATTACTTTAACATATCTTAAGAATGTGACTACTTGTCACTAGCTCAAGTACAACTATTTTCTTATCTAGATTATTGCAATAGCCTCCAATTACTCTCCTAGCCTTGCCACCCCACCCTACGTAATTTTCTATACAGGAGACAAAATGTAATTCTGACCTTATCACTCTTTTGCTCAAAACCCTCTGGTCTCCCAAAACACTCAGAACAAAGACCAAAGTCTATGATTTAGCCTGTTATCTAACAAATCTTCTCTTATTAACCTTGACCCAGCATTTCCACTTAGAATAAATCATTATGTAGTTACATCTGCATATCTCTGCAAAACAGTTATAAAGAAGTATATACATTTGTGTCTTCAATAGCGTAAGCCTGGAAGCAACCTAAATGGCCATTAATTAATAGGAGACAGGCTATTGATACAGAATCTCTCCAATACGCCCTGCCCCTGCCAAAACAAAACTATATACACAACACATACCACCATTTATATAAAAAGGAAAACTAAGGGCTTATATAGATTCTTATTTGCAGCACAGATACATAATATATGCTGGGTTTTTCATAGACTACCTTAAGAATCTATGTGAAACTCTTGAAAGTGTCTGCATCTTTGAAAAAGTACAGTACCAGGGCTCAGAGATTAGAAGAGAATTTTTCATTTTTTACCTTAATGTCCAAAAATTTCTTAGAAGTTCATGTATCACATTAAAAAATACAGACTCATACACTCATATTCTCACACACACAAGAGAAAGGCAGAAATTATTTCTAAAGCAACAACTTTTGAAAGAGGTATATGGGGCAGGCAGGGAGAGGGGTCAGTTTGTTGTTGTATAATGGAGGTAGATAAGACAATAGGAAGTATGATCACAGAGATAAAATATAATTCTGAAGCATTTAACCACTGAGAGAATGAGAAAGAGTGGTCAATAATAAAAAAAAAAAGACCCTAAATGTCAAGATAGTATGTAAAGACTCAAAACCTATAAAAGACAATTCATGAGGGAAGAAATTGATACACACTGGGAGATATGAGACTATGAGACCAAAGGTATCCATGAAAGAAAACAATCACACAGAGGCAGTACAAATGAAGTACAAAGCGTAGACATTCCAATTAAAGATAATAGGGGACTTGGTCCTCTAGAATCTAATTAAAGAGGTAGAATACTGAAACAGAAAACACAGGGGCTGAAAATGTCATTTGAGTATATAAAGAATTCATACCAAGTGATACTCCAAGACAAGGGCCTGTAAGAAAAAATACTTTAAAAGCATTTCAGGTGTCAATGCTGTCTGGTCATCATTCACTCACCTGAAAAAATTTCCTTTCATTCCTTTCTCCACCATCCAATTTGTCTTTTTGCTCCAAAAGAGGTTCACGTTCAGCTTGGTCAGCTTATAACCTGCTATTGGGGAAATGACATACCACTAGAATGTTAATGCTGGGCCAAAATACCAGTCTAGAACTCAGTCTGAGCCCTGGGGCCTCGGGCTTTCTGAAGGATGAGGACGATGCAATTTCCAGGGATGCACAAGAATGGGGACCTGTGAAAAAGAACAAAGTAATGATCTTTTTTATCTTACAATTACAATTACAAGAGCAAAGGGACTAAGATGATTTGAATCTTGAATTTCAAAGCCATATCCATTTAAGCCTCCACACATCCTGAAATGGGGGAAAAAAAGAAAACTTACTTTCAGATTTTTACTTACATAGGAAAGATGTTCATACCTTACCTGACTAGTTACTATCATTCTCTAGCACCACACCCCTGCACAAGTTCCTGAGTGGATTTTAACTATGGCCCTTATTCCTAAATGAATTTGATAGTCTTATCTATGCCTATCAGAACTAAACCACAAGTATACAATGCATAGGAAGTTGCTGTGACAGTATTCAGGAATAAAAAAACTCAAAACATTTTCCTGAAATCCTAATACTTACTTTGTTTGCATTATACTCTTGAGTAAAACTACATATTAGAAATGTCCTATAAATATTATCATACATTCAAAAAACATTTTTAAGATTATAAAAACTGACAATCTGAATATGGAATGGACTGAGAGTATTAACGTATCCATGTTAAATTTTCTGAGTTTGAAAAAGAAATGTTTTTGTTCTTAAAAAGTTCATGTTGAAGTATTCATAAAGGGAACATGTATGAACTTAGTCTCATATGCTTCAGAAAAAATTACACACATACTTAGAGAGAAGAAAAAATAAAGTGAAAAAACAAAATGTAAATGATCAGTGGATGTGGGCAAAGGATTTATAGGACTTCTCTGAGCTACTCTAATTTTTCTGTAATGTTGAAATCATACTTAAAAAGCAAAATTCTATAAAACTTAACTTACTGCTTATAAACACACTATCTACACCACAAGTAGCAAACACAAGGCCTGAACCCAGCCCTCCGCCTTATTTTATCCGGCCGGCACCTTGTTTCTTACCAGCAGCAGTGCTGAGCTCTTGCTTAACTGTTAAGGAGCAGTTATGTAACAGTTATACAGTCCTAAAATTATATTCAGCCCTATGAAGGCCACCACAAGGCTGACATGGCCCTCAGTGAAAATGAGTTTGACACCCCTGATCTACACTGTTTGTTGAAAAGGCTTGGTCATTATTTTGTACTGGGGTATGGCAGAGATGGACGACTTAGAGCCTTATTTAAAAAGTAATAGGAACAGACAGGAACATGAGAAGGTAAGCTGGCTGAATATTCTGATATTCTGGAATTCAGTGTCAGGTTTCTAAGGAACATACAAACGTATCATTTGTCAATTGTATGTGCAGATGAGGAGCTCAGACTAGACCTAGAATCATAATAGGAATTTGTCAGGTGTCAGAATATTGTTGCTGAAGACACAGATGAAATGTTACTATGACTACTTACAGAGAATATACACACTATGTGAGAAAGATGGCCAAGAATACAGACTCCTAAGAACACCATCAAGGAAGCAAGAAAAAGTTTGACAGAAACATTGTGGCTGCTAGTTTTGAAAAACACTTTTTGAAAACCATACAAACTTCAGGAATAAACAATGAGGAATAATACCAACCAGCCAATCCATAAACTACCTCTTTAGTGAAACTACTAGAATATGTTAACTTCAAATTATATGTAAGTATGGCACAAAACACCCAAAATAACAGGTGCTATAGGAACCATAATAGTGCAGTAGGAGTTACCAAGAATGGCTAGAATGCCCTGGCTGGTGTAGCTCAGTGGATTGAGTACCTGCCTGAAAAACAAAGGGTCACCAGTTCAATTCCCAGTCAGGGCACATGCCTGGTTTTCATGCCAGGTCCCCAGTAGGGAACAAACAAGGGGCAACCATATGTTGATGTTTCTCTATCTCTCCTTTCCCCTCTCTAAAAATAAATAAAATCTTAAAAAAAAAAAAGAATGGCTAGAAAATGGTGAGAAGTCCTTTAATAGTTAACAGTTCTCAGAAATAAAGCAAATATTCATTCTCAGAATGAGGCATTCACCCTAAGTGTCTACTTTTAGCCAACTCTAAGAACCAAACTAGGGACAAAGTAACCCCCCAAATTCCACATATTGGGTTGGCCAAAAAGTCCATATGGTTCTTTCCATAAAATGAGAGACACATTTTTTCATTTTTACCAATAACTGTACTGATTTGGATATTTTGAGTATGTCAGTTATTTCCTGCATGGTATAACACTGGTTGTTCTCAATGTCTTGATTTGATCACTATGAACTGGAACTGGTCTACCTGACCATGGGGCATTGTCCAACAAGAAATCTCCAGCACGACACTTTGCAAACCACTTCTGACATGTTCAATCTGTCACAGCGCCTTCTCTATACACTGCACAAACCTCTTTGTGTTCACCTGTGCTTTTACCTTCTTGAATAAAGCATAATATGCCAAAAATATTGTGTATTTCCTTCCATCTTCAATATTAAAATGGCTACACAAAAATTCACCAATTCTGATATTTTTTAATGCATGCTAATATCACAGCAGTCACAACACAATCTAATAAAATTGTTTAAAATGAAGTTAAAGACAACTAAGCACTACTAAAATCATCTTACAGGATAAAAAATGAACTTTTTGGCCAATCTCTGCTAAAGGCAGGCTCAAATAGGAGACCTAAACAAGTTACAAAGAAGCCTAGAAAGTACTGGAAATGCTGAGGGAAACTCTAAGGACTTCAAAGTTCAAATCTGAAGATAATATTTCCTTATATTCAAGTAGGCCTCACCCTAAGAGGTAACTGATGAAAGCAAAAACTAGATTAAACAGAAAAGGACTGAAGAGGGAAGCAAAAAGTAGACTTAAAAAACATAGTAAGCTCTTACTCAATATCATCAATAGGTTCTGCAACTTAAAGCAAAACAATGTGTAATGAAACCAATTTTACCACTGGCTAATCAATATAAACAAGAGTTCAGTTCCTATGGAATCTTATCAACATTATTTAACAAAAATAAAATAAAAAATAAAGGAAATGACATTACTCCAGGGCCTACTGTACTTGGGAGTGGGGCAGCCCCAGATTTAGCAACTTCTAAATACATCACTCTAAAATACAAGTTCTATGAGGAATTACAGGAAACAGAGATAGAGAATTCAGCCTCAACCAGGTTAGAGTCAATGAGCAAGAGATGATGCACAAGTTCCTTGCTTTAAAAACTAGAAGGCCCTAACTGGGTGGCTCAGTTGATTACAGCATCCTTGTGTGCATCAAAAGGTCGCAGGTTCAGTTCCTGGTGAGGGCAAATACCTGGGTTACCAATTTGACCCCTGGTCATGGCGCATGTGGGAGGCAGCCAATCAATGTTTCTCACATTGATATCTGTCTCTCTCTCCAAAACCAACAAACATATCTTTGGGTAAGTATTAAAAATAAATAAGCAAAAACTAGAAGAGGCACATGAGCTTTAAACCACAGAAAGATACTATGCCTCCATTATCCTGGTATTCACCTAGGAAAATCTGATACAAACATGAGTAACACAAAATAATTTGGGTCCATAAAAGGATACTATAGCCCTGGCTGGTGTAGCTCAGTGGATTGAGTGCGGGCCTGGGAACCAAGCAACCACGGTTTCGATTCCTAGTCAGGGCACATTCCTGGGTTGCAAGCCAGTTCCCAGCAGGGGACACATAAGAGGCAACCATACATTGATATTTCTCTCCCTCTCTCCTTCCTTTCCCCTCTAAAGATAAATAAATAAAATCTTTTAAAAAAAGATACTATAATAAACAGTAAAAATGAATAACATAATTTTCCAACAATTAAATAAACTCATCTGAAAAATATCGACACAAACCAGGTAAACATGAAACACAACAAAACAAAATGAACTTTTAAATTAAGACAAACTTTTAAGGAACAAGCAAAGCTACAAAAAGCACAAAAAAGACAAACAGAGGAACTGCATTTAAAAAAGGAAGAGGGAAAGGGAAGAAAACAGGATAGGAATGAACATCTACTGGGCATCTTATTTTTGTTCTGTTTGTCTTTTTTTTTTTTTTAAGATTGCAGTATCACAGTATGGAGGGATTTTTGTTTCCTTGATTAACATGATCTTCCTTGATCTTTCCTGGTTGTTGTATCCTAGACACAGCAGTAGCCCCAGCCTTATTAAACTTTTTGTTTCTATTTACATTTCTAGAGACCCAGGCAGCATGAGTAAACTTTATAGATAATTGTAATCTATCAGAACCACAAAAGCCATATTTTTTTTTAATTTTTGAAATTATTTTATTGTTGTTCAATCACAGTTGTCTGCATTTACCCTCCACTACTGTCCCCCAAGCCATATCCTTATTTAATGCAAAATCACTGGAAGTATCTGTATAAAATTCTGAAGATAGGATGCCCATATATCAATTATTTAACATAAACAGTTCAGTAAATTAAGCAGAGAATAAAACTATTTTATAGATATCAACAAGCTTCCCATATGACTCCACTGATAATAGTAATATAAAAGATAAAGTACCTAGAAACAAATTTAGTAAACAGTATCTAAAACCTATAGGAGTATTTAACATCGAAAAGGTCTAATGTTCCTTCCCACTAAATTATTTTATAAGTTTAATGAAATACAAGTAAAAATAAGGTTTCTTTCCCCCTAGAATGACAAGCTGATTCTAAAGTTTACATAGAAAAACAAACAAGTAGAATAGCTGGGAAACTGCAAAGGACAAGCAGTAAGAGACTAGTTACAGCAGATAATAAAACAAAAGTATAAAGCCTCAATAATAAAGACATAAATATTGGGCCCTGGCCAGCCTCAGCTGACTGGAGCATTGACTTGTGCATGAAAAGGTTGAGGGTTTCAGTTCCAGTCAAGGCACATACCTAGGTTGCAGCTTTTATCACCCGTTGGGGCATGTACAAGAGGCAATTGATATGTCTCTCTCCTCTTTCTCTTCTCTCTCTAAAATCAATAAACTTATCCTTAGGTGAGGATTTTTTTTAAAAGACATAAATATTGTGGCCCTGGCTGGTGTAGCTCAGTGGACTGAGCATGGGCCTGCGAACCAGAGGATCG